CTAGTCCTTCTAGCCATGCTATGGCCCTCCAATTGAAATGAGTACCAGGAATCTTCCTGCGGAGCAAATGGCGGCCGGAGCGCAAGACTGACAACATTACCGCCATCTGTGAGCCGACTATCTGGAAAGTATGGGAGCCTCGACGTCCCACAACCTTATAGGCCTTCATGGCCGGTTACAGGAATAGCTAATATGTGTACACATGTATATTTATGTATGTAATGACTGCACGCAAATATAAGCGCATGTACGTGGGTATGTGGGTAAGTTAACGTACGTACGAGTATGTATGTATGTATAGACGGGAGTATGTATTGTGTATATGTAAGTATCTGTGTTTGCATTTATACTATATTATGAAATTTATTTAGCAGCACCATGTCCCTTACGAGCCTAAAATATGGCTGGAACGTCATTCACCCCCAATAACTCACATCAAACTAGCTAATAACTGTTAATCTTTTATTTTTCAAGAATAACTGTAAATAGAATTTCATTTAAGATGGAAGCAAACATGTATAAGGAAACCAAATTTACTTCCGAGGAATATTTTTAACTTTACTGACATACATATACACACATAAGTCAAAGTGCAAGTCCGAAATTCCAATTTCCATTCAGCGGTAATGTACAAACCTGTGAAGTGTATGATCTTACCTTCTGCTTATCCAGGACTTGCAGAATATCGTCCACGTCTCCAACAATAACTGCTTGCTGACGCAACATCTCCTCTTCTAAAGTTAACCAATCACGAATCTGGAAAACATACGTCATATATATAAATGTGAAACATACCGTGACGTGTAGACTCATTGCTACTAGGGAACAGGGTAGGTAAACACGTTTCCGTGGAGACGGGTTCTTGGAAACCCACCCGTCACGGGTCTGCGGTTCCGTGGAAACGGGGCACGGGTGATCAACAAACATTTCCGTTGTTAAGGAAATGAAAGGTGTTTTCTGCCGGTCCGTCTCGACTTTATATATCCTATACATATGAATACATCAAACAGGAAAATAATCTTGTTTACTCGACTTACCATTCAACCTAGAATATGGAGTCAGGAAGTTCCTCCGAAACGTCAGTAAACTTCTAACAGACTATAAGAACGTAAAAAGTAAAGTCGTTCCAATGCATAACTAAGCTAAGCACTACGCCATAATGGTGTATGGGGGGTGCATGTATAGATCCATGTATTCTTGACCTAGGCACTACTTGGAGACAAGTTGTCATTTTCACGCCTCGGCCGCCTTATCCCCTATGCATTCGATAGGATGGCGGGTGGGCCTCAAAACAGGTCTGGACGACGTGAAAAAGAGAAAAATTTTGCCCCTACCGGGACTCTAACTTTGTCCCCTCGTTCGCTATACCGACTGCGCTATCACAGTTTCTGACTATACGGAGTCATGTTCCTGAAGAGTATAACTCTTCATAGCCATGCTGTGAGAACCTGAAACCTCACATCCCTCGGTATAGTATCTCCTTTCCTCAGAATGTGACGCCATGTTTCACGCCCATACAAAACAACGGCTAGTACTCTTTCTCAGTTCCACGCATTCTTTATGCAATTACGTTTGCATGAACGAGAAGGCAGGCTAATCCAGTAGCAGGGACACAGCTGTGTGCGCTCCACAGAATGTTGCCTTCAGCCATCACGTTCACCTTTATTAATACATCAAATTACAAGTTGCACGTGCTGACATCTCTGCTCAGGGAGGCGAACAAAGTTGCGGTGACCGAACTAATTGCTTTGATCCAAGCCCCGCCCCTGTCTTACTGCACGATATGCCCTCTGAATACACAGCTTAGATCCTATGTGTTGCGGTAGAGTGCAGGCAGCGGCTTCATTCTTAAAGTGTAATTACAGGTTAAATTTTCTTAGACTGACCTCTGAGCTGCGGGTGAGAGAATATGTTGGAAAATAGTGAGAAAAATGATATCAGCTCAAATATAGTAAGGAGGAAGGGTGATGCAGTGTTGGGTAGGCCGCACACCGGCATGCGTCAAGACATGTAACAGTCAAGACACGATGTCTGCGACATGAGGCAAAGAAAGGAGCACAGTTGAAACGAATGAGATAATGAAAATCGCCGCACACCGGTCTGAGTCATGATGCTGACGAATCACGAATGAAGTAAGATTGCGTCTTTTGTCTCATGTTTTGATGCTTGTCTTGACGCAGTTGGTGTGCGGCCGCCCTAACTAAGGCCTTCTACTACATTGCACACGGTCATATAGTCCTTAACCAAGTTAGTGGACTCAACCGAATCCATTGGGCATTCCATTTTGAACGGCCAAGCCTAGAAGCAAGGATAATAGAGTTCCGAAATGGAAAGAAGAGAAATCCAAGTGTAAACACTGCTGCCACCGAAGCACACATGAAAGAACTCCTCGCCAGAAATATTACTCACGTACACGCTGTTCTCAAAAGTACTCCGTTTCACTGTACAAAGCTGTGTCCGTTTTGGTCCAATGTCATAATCACCTGCTCCCTCAAACAAGCTTCATAATTTGCACACTTCCATCAGCATGATGAACATAATTCATGCCTCCTAGGACACGCCGTATTCTGGTAACGTTTCAAGAAACTTCCTCTACTTTCAGAGCATCGTCTAGGATGTAGCGCCATGTATTCTGGTGGAAAGATGCCAAGATTTCGAAGAAAAGTACGTTCATTTTTTTTGCGTATTCTAATCTGAAGATGAAAGCCGAGGGTTCTCGAAAACAAACTCCGTGGCTTTCAGTCCTCAAGCGAACTATACCGACCGAGCGACCGCCACTTGTCGGCGAAGTTAGTGCCAACTTCTCTGGATAGAGGGTGTCGCGTGGCCAGCGCAACGGATTCCCACGGCCGTTAATCGCGGTGTTCTAGACCGGAGCCGCTACTTTTCCATTCAAGTAGCTCCTATTGCGAATATTTCTCACCCGAGTACACGGCGTCACACCCCAGAAGGCAGTAATCTTCTGTAATAACCAGCTGAGCGACTGCCAGTTTCTCAAAAACGACTGTTCTGTGGAGTAAGTCAATTTATTCTGGGGAAGTTTTGTTTAACGACGTTGCCAGTAGCTTTCCCACACAGCACTGAATTACTGGATGATGTATGAATAATGAACCGGAAAGTTTCTTAAATGAATTACTGTGGCATAACCGGGGCACAATCCCGGTGTCTGAGGAAAACCATTAAGAATCTCGGGATAGCCTGTGTCCCCACCGAGATTCGAACACATCACATCCTGAATATAACTCTACAGCGTTATCACTACCTGGACACCCTGTATCCTGATCGATACTTCTCTTGATTTTCTTCAGTTCCTCCGGGAAAATAATGGGGTTTCCCACAACGATCAGGCCAAGAGAGCATTCTTCCAAATCCCTTGAATTCATCAATCATCGGTTATCCTATCATACAGCGCAAGACAGTCCATCTACTGACAGCACGGTAAAACAGACGCCTCGGAGTGACAATGAATCTTTAACTTCAGGCAGCTGAGCCCTTAGTAGAGTAGCCACTCAAGAACTTCCCACCATTTTATGGAACACGAAGGTTCATTATCGTGTTTACAAGAGCCCTCCACTGGTCCCTATCCTGAGACAGATCAATCCAGCCCGTACCACCCCACCCTATCTCTCTAATATCCATTTTTAATTATCCCCCACATACAACTTGGTCTTCCTTGTAGTCTCTTTCCTTCTAGCTTTCCCAGCAATATCTTACACGCATTCCTCTTCTACCCCATTCGTGCTACATGCCCTGCCCATTTCAACCTTCTTGACTTGATCATTCTAATTATACTTGGGGAAGAGTGCAAGTTATGAAGCCCCTCATTATGCAGTTTTCTCCAACCTCCTGTCACTTCATCTCTCTTCGGTCCAAATATTCTCCTCAGCGCCCTGTTCTCAAACACCCTCAGTCTATGTTCCTCCCTTAATGTCAGAGTGCAAAGTTCACATCCATACAGAACCAAAGGCAAAATTAGTTTTTAGAAAGCAAACGAGAGGACAGTGAACCTTCGCGTATCATAGAAGGTCGGTGATTTTTACACTAGCTGAGCAACTATTAGGTTCTCTAGAAGGACTCTGCTCCGTAAAGTTAAGTTGTATTCCTCAAGAGAAATCTTTAGCACTAATCTCTCTCTTCGTCATCAGTTTCGTTTCCCTGGAAACAGACTGCGGTGTTTACGAGGAAAGCTGTTATGCTTAACGCAC